GGCCAAGCGGCGGCAGCAAACCTGTCACCGGCGTGACTTGTGTCCGTGCGCCCTGTCTGTGTGCATATACATATGTGTGTGTGTGTGTGTATATATATCGAGAGATTTATGGTCAACAGCGTCAGCTTTTTGCCTTCGGAGATACCTCTCTCTCCCGTTTTGTTTTCTAAGCAGAATGGGTAGCGAGTCCAAAAATACAGCCCGACGCGTGAGGTGTAACGGATATAATGAGGTATAACGAAGAGATTACGTTCAAACGTGGGAATAATGTCACGGAGGGTGGTGGTGGGGGGAGTTTTCTAGCCCAGTGATTTGCTAACAAGTCTGTGTCACGATTTACCAGTTCTCTGCTCGTTCCCGGTTCCTGCAGGTGCTAAGTCAGTGCAAGGTGTCAGGACGCATCTCTTACCTGGGGTAGAGTGTGCTCACATTGCACAGGCTGCCCAGCCCCGGAGGACCTCCCTGTTCTTAATTTATGCAGTGTCTGTCTGTGAAGCCCATAACTTGACTCAACAAAATCCCTGCGTCATTGTGCATTTCTTGATTTGCTGAAAAATAAGGGTAGAAAAAAGCTGACTGAAGAAGGGCCTCTTTTTTTCTCCTCAACCTGCCAAGTTCAGGCCCTGACAGGCTGGGTGGAAGAGTTGATCGGCCCAAGGAACCCTTCCTGAGTGAGACCCTTCTGGGTACCAAGCGTCGGTAACCCTCAGACACCGTGTCAAGACATACCTGCCAAGCATGAGGGTAGCCGGTCTGCTTGTACCAACGCCTCTCCCACCTAAAAATTGTTCAGATAACAGTGCATCAGTCCTGGGGGTGTATAAGCCAAAGGTGAACACCAGCCTACAAATGCTGTATCATCCAAACTAAGTGGGCTCTGCGATTGAAAGATCAATATTCCTTTCTGCTCCTGGCTTTTCTTCCTGACAACGATCAATTTCTTACCAACATCACATAGTCATTCTTTTATCTTTCCAAAGTGTATGCTCTTCCTCTATCCTTTCTCTGACGGTCCCCAAACACTCTTAGAACTGTTTTATGAGCTTCATTTTCAAGCTTAGCTTTCCCTCATTGTGAGCTTTTTTTTTCTTTATTACTATTTCCATATAGGAGCCATATGAAGAATGTTAGAGGCAGTGTACAGCTAGTTGTTTGCTGGTGGTCTGCTAACATACAACATAGAGTCTGACATTGGGTGTGCTCATACTCCCCAACTTTTAGAAGCCCTAGGTTGACCTTCACATTTGGCAAGCGTAAACCTGCGCTACAAAGCCTGCTGCAAGTCTTTCCTACCTTCTAAGTTGTACTGAGCTCATTTCTCCAAGCTTATGTTTATCTTATTTGAAAACTTTATTTTAAGACTGAATAATTATTCTACATTTTCTGCTCTGGGCCAGATTTTGGCTTTTGCCAAGATCTCCTCTTTTTTACATTTTTGATAAATATTTGCTCTGGACGCAGTTTTGTCTGGGCTGATAGGGCTAGAAAGAGGCAGAGTGCAGACAGGTGCACTTGAAGCATTTCTCTGTTGGTTTTTCCTGTATTATTATTTTTTTTTTATTGTAGAAAATCTCTGACCTCAGGGATCCCTGCTGTTTCCAGGCTGACCGGCTGACCATATTTTCTGCCCATCCAAAACTGGAGGGTGGTTTTGTTATGTGCACAGCTAGTGACTGCTAAGGGCGTGACCCAGCTTCCATTGAAGTCGACGGAAAGGCTCCCATTGAATTCAATGTGAGTTGGATCAGGTCTGGAGTTCTGATCACAACTTCATTTCACTGTGGACACAGTGAGTCATAAACTGAAGCCTTCAGAAGTCAGAGGCAAGGGGGTTTATCCTGTCGTTTGAAAGAGAACCTCTCCCCCACTCTGTTTTGACATTGGCAAGAAAAGGGTAATTACACCGAGGCAGTGGCTACAAAAGCAACAAGAAAAATAGTGCTGTCCTGGTCTCTAAGGAAATTTCAGTCTGAATTCTCGTGAACGGACACATTTTGCTCCTATCAGATGTAACTTACATGCAGCAATCGGGGCTGGCCAACAACCAAATTTTTATACAAAGCGTTTTCTGAAGTTTTTTGCGAATGTGGACCTTAATCAGACACAGCCCTGTTTAAGTTGGTTGACTGAGGTTAATCAGGGACACAAAGATCTGCCTGTGTGGAATGGATTGCAGGCTCATAACCGCAAGAAAACCTGAAACTTTCAGGTTTTATTGTCAATATATGTTTCAAATCCATGTAATTTGCTATGCGGCATTTTCATACCTACATCAACCCAGTGTTTCAAGTAAACTCCTGAAAAGTGACCATAAGGTAAATATCCCATCGCTGCTTTGTTAACATCACTTCTTTGCTCGCCAGTCATTGCAAGAGCACCTGAGATGCGGTGACTGCGTTGGCAAAGGCTGCCCGCTCCCCATCGGCCAGCGGCAGCACTGTCATCTGCCCCTGAGCACACACCTCGCCCGCCGTACGAGCCAGTGGGGCCAGTTTGTTAAAGCAGTCATTGATGATGGTTCTTTCAGCCAGCTCGTTGGGTGTGTATTTCCCTGGGTCGTACTGTTGACTGCCTGCACTCCGGCTTAGAGCGTCAAAGCTACCAATGGTGATCCTAGGCTGAGCTTTTCAGAGGAGAACCTAAGGCTGAGCTTTTTGGAGGAGAACCTATTCCAGTTGGATTCATTACTAAACTTTCTTTTTCGCTTCTCTTACAGCCCCAGCCTTAGCTACACTCTGCATCTTTTGTTTTCTCCAGTGTGTCTTGCCCCGCTTCTTCTTTCCCCTTCAGGATCAGAATTTTGGGGATAGGCAAGGAGGGCAGGGACAGTCTTCTCTTTTGGTTTCGTGTAGCACTTGGCTAATACCAGAGGAAGAGAAGAGAAAACAGGTTTTTATAGAGTAGATTGTGCCATTTTCCATTTGGAAGAGGCCATGCCAGTAGGGTTATAATATGATGGGAAAGGAGAGCACTTGAAACGATTCCCTAGAGCTTTTGAGGCAGAGCTGTGTCGCGTTACCTGTTAAACACAGGATGTGTTTTTTAATCCTCTGTTGCCTGCTACGTGGAGTTATTTCCTTTTCTGCTCTCTGTATATTAATCCTTCCTCGCTCTTGTTCAACCCTCTCTTGGCCACCATCTCAGGACACTTCATGAAATACGTAACAGTCATCAGCACAGTTTTGCTGTTGGGGAAAAAGTGTTACGTTTTAAGGTTGACACCTACCGGTTCAGATTTGAATATGACATCACTGTAAACTGGTGAGAAATCCTGGCACCGCAAAGGTCTAAACGAAAAATCCTGCTGACTGCATTGCAGCCAGAACTTCACACGTCCCGCGTCACTGTTGTGATTTAACCCCGGCTGGCAACTAAGCACCACGCAGCCACTCGCTCACTCCCCCCGCAATGGGACAGGGGAGAGAATTCAGAGGAGTAAAAGTAAGAAAACTCCTGGCTTGAGATACAGGCAGTTTCATAGGGAAAGCAAGAGCCGTGCGCACAAGCAAAGCAAAGCAAGGAATCCATTCACCACTTCCCACGGGCAGGCAGGTGCTCAGCCATCCCCAGGAAAGCAGGGCTCCATCATGCCTAACAGTGACTTGGGAAGACAGATGCCATCACCTCAAACGTCCCCCCCTTCCTTCTTCTTCCCCCAGCTTATATACTGAGCGGGACGTATATATGGTATGGAACACCCCTTTGGTCAGTTTGGGTCAGCTGTCCCAGCTGTCTCCCCTCCCAGCTTCCCCTGCACCTGGCAGAGCTGAGAGCTGAGAAGTCCTTGGCCAGCCTTAGCACTACTTCGCAACGACTAAAACGTCAGTGTGTTACCAACATTCTTCTCGTACTAAATCCAAAACACAGCGCCATACCAGCTACTAGGAAGAAAATTAACTCTGTCCCAGCTGAAACCAGGACAGTCACCTTTCATTTTCTTGGAGAAACAGAGCAAGAGGTGTTCTGCCTGGCACTGCTGAAGCCACAGAACAGGCATTAGTGCCCAGTTACAAAGGAAGAAAAGCATGAAGTGGGGAGCAGAGCAGAAATCATGCAGGTGGTGTTTGAGGGCTGGGGATATGACTTATCACATGCCGAATTCATAGGAGTGTCACCCTTATCTTCCGTACCGTTTTTAACAGAGTGATTTTCAGGGGAGGCCCAGTAACAGTTTGTCCCATGAGAAATGTGATGGTAGGTAAAAAAATATTCCACATGGTCATGGAAGTCAGTAGGAGCAAGAAAATCCATTTCTCTCTGCTATGAGTGCATTTCAACAGTAACCTCCATGGGCCAGTGTGCAGCGTGCAGGACATTGGGATGCCTGTGTATTTGTGACTTCAAGGGTTATTGTCTTAACCGTAACTGCAGAGCAGAAGAACAACGTGGAGATAACATATCGGTGTTTACTTAAAAACAGAACTGCATGTTGGTAATTTCTTTGGTTTCAATTGTATTTGGAAAAGACAGGCACAGTCATGGGCAGGATCAACTCCTTCCCTTGGCAAGAAAACCTGCTGGTACAATAGAGGAGCAACAAAGCTGTGTTTAGAGAAACAGCTCTGTTGTTCCGGCAGGCTGTTTGCATGCATGTGTCAATCCCTGTCCTTGACTGAAGAGAAGCAGCGTATGGTCAGGTGCAAATATGACAGCATTCATCTGGAGAAGAGGTGATGACTTTTCAAAATAAACAGAGTGTGGGCACGCGTGTCTGACTTATCTCAACTACTTCTTAGTTGTTTTAGGATGTGTGATTGTAAAGGAAAAAACAGCAGTGCCTGACCTATTAAAATCATATAATCCATCCGTTCTGTGGTCATTATGGTGACTCAACAGGCTAAGTACTGAGCTACCCTGAGCGACTGCAAATTTGTTTCCCAGACTTGGTTTTGGGAGTGGTTTCTGCAGCTTAATGTTTAGAGGAATGAACGATAGTCATTGGTAAAATTTTCAGAATTGGCCAAGTTACTTGGGAACCCAAGCCCCATTTTTTAAGATTGTGTAGAGTGTGCAGACTTCTGAGACCCTTAATTTGCAGTGAAACATAGAATTGAATTTTCAGCAGTTTCTCTAAATCTAATGTGAGTTCTTGGGATCTAAAATGCTTCAGAAGCTGCTGTGTATATATATAAGTCACTTTTGAGAATAAGAACTAAGGGAAAGTACTCAAACCTCCTACATTTACTTTCCTCCCTTAGGTCCCAGGTTCTTTCAGGTGTTTGCTGCTGGTAACGACTGTGAGTTTGGAAAGGTGGCACTGGAAAGCTGCCGTGACGGATGCAAGTGAGATGCAAGGCAATAGCCTGAAGCATGCATGTTCTAATGAGAGTTGTGTGCTGTTGGGGCATGGAGGGCTGGCTGTACAAGCCTCAACTTTTGCATTTCCCTCATAAGCTGATATATGAGTCAGTTTACTGAGTCCCTCAGCGATGCTCCTTGCCAAGGCGGCCAGTTCCTTGGAGAAGAGCGCTGTACGAGGAGAGAGCCATGGTCTACGAGGGCTGCCTGGAAGAGCATCTCGCCTCACCCGCACTGTTCATTCTGTTTGTTTCTGCCTACGAGAGGCAATAGCCATTTCCTTTTCCAAGTTCTTGATCTTGTTGGAGGTTGGCCAGGGTATGCGGTTCAGGGAGGCAGTGAAGCTGATTGCCTTCATTGTTAAAGGTGGGGTGGGTGGGAAGAGACAAAAAATGAGGGGACAGCTGAAAGTCTTCAGCCATCGAGCTGCAGCACTAACACGCAAGTGGACTCTATCAGGGGAAGCTGGGAACTGTTGGCTTATCAATGCTTTTGCTGTCTTGTGTTTTATGCTTTTGATAACTTCCCTTGACAGCGGCATCTTTTGTCAGAGCTGCGGGGAAAAAAAAAGAAAAAAAAAGATAATGGAGTATGTATAAAGCAGATCTATTGCTTTGAGATGCCATGTTCTGTTTAGTGTGGTGTTCTCAAACCCCTTGTTTATGCTAGGTACTCTGGAGCCATTTCCTACGCTACCAAAACACAGCACCCACCCAAACTGCAAAAAATAAACTGGCTCTTAAGCTTGAAAGAGTAGGATCCACAAAATGCTTTAAAACTGGAGTGAAAATGTAGATAAGCGGTGTCCAGGGACCCCAAATTGATAATTTGCCAGAGTGCTGGTTGGTGTGCTTAGAAACCCCTGCCAGACACAAAATGGGGTCATTCCTATCACATCAGTTATAGATATTGTTGACTGGATATTCCTAAAAAAAATAAGAGGTTCTCACCAAGAAGTTTTGTTTTTCTAAAAAGTGTGGTTAAATGATAGCCACTGGCACCGTATTGCTGTTGATACTAGTTGATATTGGCTCAAGCCTCCTATCCATCCAAACCCTTTAAAGTTAGGGGAATATGTCCTCTTATCATCTCTTCCATGTCTATTTGAACTCTTTGGAATAACGTGTATTTGCGTAGAAGCTTATGGCTTGTTTTGTGCTACTGCAAGTTATGGTAAAAACTTAAAGCAAAACCAGGACTGCACTGAAGAAATATGCCTACATTTCTGTAACTCAGACCAGAGGACCAGTGGTTCCACAAGATAAATCACTATAATTTTTATTTGGGGACACTTTTACTCTTTTTTTTTTTTTAATAGAGACTTAGAGTGGAGATAAATAGAGATATTCAAGTTCATAATTTGCTGAGTGCTCGCAGACAGCGCACAGTCGATGGTGACGTGACTGCACAGCTAAACAAACACGGTGAAAGAAATCTTTCTATTCATGATCTTAATTTGGGCTCCATTCAGCTTGAGGCCTGATGTAATTCAGATGGCACAACTGGAAACATTACACCTATTCTCACAGGACCAAATGTCATTTGCCTGAAAAAAGTATCTCCTCTGAAGGATAAACCATAATCTTCTAATTTGGGGCTGATCTTGCACTGCTGTGAGCTGAGAAAAAACCTGACTGTACATTGCTTTCAGAGAAATCTGAGGGATAAAAGCATCCAAAGGACACTTTACCTGTTGATGCATTAGTCCTTCAGTTGTAATCTCTCTAAGTTAAGGATCCAGTCTCCTTGATGCAAAAGGCCCAGTAATTTACAACAGTTTTAGGTATTCAAGAGAGCATTTTCTGAAATGCCTTCAGAAATCTGTGCGCACAGTTAGTATATGCACTGTATCTCTCTAGAATCTTTCCTATCTGTCGCCTCTCCATATCTTCCCATCCCAGTTTAGTTCACTGCAATTACAGTGCATGATACGATAGGGTGGTTTAGGGCACAGGCTCTTCCCAATGATGTGTATCCATCAGTTTCTCATTGTGGCTGTAGCTTGCCCCTGGGCTGAGCGGTGGGTGTTTGCCAGGGTTCCCTTCGTTGCAGGGTGAGGCAATATGCTCCACTATTGTCCCAGCAGCTGGGGAGCGGCTGTGGCATGTTCCCAGGAGCAGGATTTGGGAGGTACTGCTGCATCCTGGAATTTGGAGGGAGCTAAGAACAGGGGACACACTGAATTGTTCAGCCCCATGGTTTATCTTCCATATGCAGCTGAGCTGTATTTTCCTTGATATGCCAGCAAGAGAAGGGGTTTGAATGTGGTGGCTGCATATGTTACAGTTGAGAGCATACTGAAAAGCTGAAGAGTTTGGGTTAAGAAGCAGAAGATTTTTTCCTTACTTTTTGCTTACTTTTGTAAGTCAGGGCTGCAAACTTGGTGAAGTCGATGAGAATTTTGCCTTTGGCTCAAGGATCTCATCCCAGGACTTTATGCTAAGTTAGATGCACATTTGTAACATATGTGGGAGGTATATACAAGAAATACATTTCTCCGTTTCCAATTCAAACTCGGCCTCAATTCCTGAGGTTGGTCCACACTGCCAAAACTGAAACCATCATTCAGCCTCTAGCCTTACTGATGACAGCAATGGTATAACTGTGGTGGACAGCTTTTGATATTGTGTCATCTGAGTGGAATTGGAAGATGTAGAGATAAAACCTGTGCCTCTGAATCCGGTCCACACCCTGCCTTTGCCAGCACTTCCAAAGATGAATTTCGGTAGGCAATTGCCAGCTAGAGGAGAGGAGGTGTTCAGGGAAGGAGGCAGGATGTTTTAATTATAAGAACAGAAGACCTTTTTTTTTTTTTTTAACCTTCCCTGCATTTCATTTTGCAATGTATTTGTACGCTAATGTATTTAATTTTCATGCTACTGCTGTTCATTGGTTAGTATCACTGTTGATTTGTTCGTGTGACAAGAGAATTTACATATAAGTTTATTATGTTGTAGTTCAGAGAACGATCTTCTTGTGCTTTTTCCTCTCAGAGGTCATCCTGCTCTGAAACTTTTCTTCTCCAGCTCGAGAACTGATTTGTTTTGCATATCAACAGGCTTGTCCATTTATTAACTACATGGGACAGATTTTCAACTGGATGACATTTTCATAGACAAATGAATCAGTGAAATGGTACTAATTCATGCCTTTGTCTGTATGCCAGGTCATTAGCTGATGCAGAATTGAAAGGGTTCAAATATCCTCCCATCCTCTCCATTTTGCTATGAACTGGTGACTAAACTTGACAGGATTAGATGTTTCAACCCAGGAAAGGACAGTGGCATAGCCAATAATACTGAGTTACGCAGAAAAAGCATAAATGCACTTCTCTGTCACATAACACGGGAGAAGGTTAAATTCAAAGGAGATTTGGGAAGGAAGAACACTTGGCACAGCGGCCAGGTGTTGTGAAGAGGTAAGAGTAGGAATAAGAGGCATGCAAATAAATGTGTAAGATTTGGAACCGATGCAGTCTTAGAAATGGACTGTTGATAATTCAGGGATGAACATAGTAGAAAATAGAACAGGGTTTTCTTCTCAAGCCAGGATTTAAGCATCAGATCTGCACAAACACTAGAGGATGGAGTCTTTTCCCATGCCTGTCATACTAGGGCTGCTTTCTGGAGAAATGGACTTGTGGCCATCCAGTGACTTTTGGGCTGTGGATCTGCATAGCTGCAACAGCAGCAATCCAGCTCCTGACCCTCACGTTGGCCAACTTCGTCCCTGCCTTCAGATGACCTTCAGCTTGGCCTTACCTGTATATTTGCAAGGAATCGCATGCTCAGCAACCTGCTGAGTTCTCTGTCTCAAAGTATTTTTAACTGTTGCTCTTCTTAACTGAAAGGGGAAATTATTTTCTCCTCCAAAGTGTTTTCAAGGCATGGTATAGTGTCTGATGTGCTGGGGAGGGGGTGATGTCTGGGTGGAACAGGGCCATGTTATGCAATATTTTGGCTCTTCTAGAATAAGGAGCATTATGCCCGGCATGGCATTGCATAACCTGAAGGTACCACTGGCCAGTGAAACTTCTCCTCATCTCTGCCAAGCAGACCTGTTTCTTTCAGCTGTTTTTGTTTACTGCCTCACTTTTATGGCCCTGGGGAGATGCACGTATGTTGACAAGAGATCTTAGATTCCACATGGAAACTGTGTGTCCTCCCAAGGCTCTGAAGGACAGCTTTCTGCCTGTATCATGGTCACTCTCTGATACCTGAGAGTCACAGGTCAAGGACAGGATTTTCCACCAAGAGTTTGTTCCCATGTGTGGAAGTACAGAAGGCTCAACATGTGAGACAGTCCTTGTTTTCAGCAGGGCATTAATTTCCGGAGTTGGTACCTTTTATACTTTCATACCCAGGAGTAAATTAGGGGTTTCCAACAGCAGTGTAACTGTCCTTGTCCAAAACCTAATTTATGACAGGTGGTAGTAAGAAAGAAAGAATCACTTGTTTTCATCTGGACTTGTACTTTTTTTTTTTTAAATCTTTTATAAATATAGATCCTTGACAAACATTTATTTGAGAATCAGTTTAATCATTCTTTCAGAGGTTACGTGCACACATTTGGCTTTACATTCCACTTGACTGATTATTAAAAGGTGCTTTCCTTGTAGCACAAAAAATGAATAGGGCAAGAGTAATTTTTGCAATTCTTGCTTTTGCTCTGAGAATTTTATTCACAGTATTCCTGCAGTCAGTAGGGCTGTCCCCATAACTTAGCAACGACCATATTTTTGGTTTTTTCAGATTTTGTTTTCAGATTTTTACGATTTTCAGAATTTCTGGCATCAGAACATGAATTTGGGAGGCACTTTCTTCTTGTACAGTGCTCACACAGTAGTTGCTACATTTTTTCAGTCTTTGGCTACTAAGATTTCATATGTCTCAGGAGCTACTTAGCTATTAATTCCATGAAAGCCTATTTTATCCCTTTCCTTCCTTATGAAATTTACCCTTTCATTCTGGCATCATCCAGACTGTATTTTGTGGGCCAAATCCAGCCCAGCTGGATGTCTGCACTTGGATCCCCCTGTGTTGCTGCCCTTGTGTCCATGCCGGAGCAGCAGAAGGGACTGGCTGCATGGGTTGGAAATTACCCCAATCAGTCACCCCTGGGGATGAGGGTCAGTGGTGTGCACTGCCATACTGGAAGAGTAATGGGAAAGTCACCGGTAATAATGCACAGATGCCATGCTGCATGTCTATAGCTTCTTTCTTTTGCATAGAAAACAACTCGGGGTTGAGTGATCTTGGGGACTTTATTAATTTCTTGTCTGACAAAAAAAAACCTGCAAGATTTTGGCAGTTAAGAAAATTTGGGTTATCAGATAACATTGATAGATACCTAATTATT